TCTGTTGTAAATTTCCTCACACTTACACAGCAGCAATCATCCAGCAATGGAAAACCCACCAAGAATCATAGACAGATGAGAACAAATAAAAACAACAATGAGAATGTTCCTGGCTGAACTACCAGGATTAGTGTTTCTCTTTTGTTTTGTTAGTTTTGGTTTGTTTGGTTGGTTGGTTTGGGTTTTTTTTAATTTTTTTTTTTTTTTTTAATCTAATGGATTTTTGCTCTCATCCACCCAGAGTAAACCAACAGATACACGGCATGTATCACAGATGGGTCAGCTGTGGTGATCATATATAGCTGCACATATTTGTTACACAGGTGCTCAGGTTTAGACTCTCTGGCTAGCCAAGTGCACTCAGAGTTTTTGGCAAATGCCCATAGTCCCATGAATTGGAAGAGAAAAGACAGTGAGAAAGTAGTCAGCTGGCACTAGTGCTTTCCACAGCAGCCCTCAAGCCTGAGCCAAACCTGCCGATCTCATTCTTCACCCCATGTTCTGAATAACTGTCAAATTCCTAAACTTATTTTGCAATTCAGTGGGGGTTTTTTTTGGCTGGAGTTACTGGAACAGAGACACTGGTATAGTTAGCACCTCCGTGGACAGTACTGAGCCCTTCAATTGTTGATCATTCTGGGGCAAAAGTGCTTGTGTGGGGTCTTTCCCCCCTTGACTTTTTTACTTTTTATTCCCCCACACTCTAGTTTGTTTCCTTCCCTGGGTTTATTGGTGTTTTGGTTTTGTTGTTTTGGTTTGGTGTTGTTTTGTTGTATTTTTTTTCCCTCCCCTTGTGTTTTATTTGTTTTATTTTTTTTGTTTTGTTTTATTTTTTGTTGTTTGTTGGGGTTTTTTGTGTTCATTTCATTTTGGTTTTGTGTGGTTTGTTTTGTTTTTTTGTTCGTAGGTTTGGGTTTTTTTTGTGATGGCTTTTTTTTTTCTTTCTTGTTCTCCCCTTCCTGTCCTCCTGTGCCCTCCCAACCCCCTTTCCCCTCAATATTTTATATGGGTGTTCTTTTAGGTTGTTCTGTTTTGCTTATTTCCCTCCCTCCTCACCTCCAAGCAGCTGGAGGGGAAGGAAGGGCAAGAGTCCTCTGGACAGACAGGCAGGCTGGCATTTGGCGGTGGCAGCACAGGCTGCTCTTAACTAGCTGGATATGCTGCAGGTGTAACTGAAGTGTGGTGACATTTATTATGTCCCTCTAAATAGCTGCTGCTGATGTTGCAGAACTGGTGCTGAGCCAGTAGAAATGCATGAACCATAATCAAGCCTGAGAAGACAATGTTATGATGTTGACTGAGAGATATATATATCACCACTGATAATGTTATGTTCAGATTAATCTATGTGATATCTGGATATGGCAATGGGCCAAATTATTTGCTGATGAACTGTTGTAATAGGAACATTAGTGAGATCTACAGAGGTTATATTAAGCTTATACATCATGAATTATATGTATGTTTTTCAGACAGTTGTCATTTTTTCCATAATCTAACATAATTTTCTCTCAAATATTCTTTAATAACATTCTACTTAATAATAATAAAAATGGACTTGTAGTCCTTGTGTTGCAAAGATACCTCTCCAACCATGAGGATGTTTGCCTCCACTCCTTGCTATTGAGAGGCATATGAGTTGTCTATATTTCTGAAGATATAAACTGAGCACATATATCTATGTGTGTATACAGAAGTAATCTCTGCTCTATAAATAGCCTAAGTCTATAGTGACCAAAAAAGGCCAAAAAATCAGGCTTCCACTTCAACAGAAATCTGGCTTTATCAATGTGATAAACCTAGAAAGATGGCCAGGGTTAGTATAACAAGGGCTGAGCATTTGTTCCAAAAATCCAAGCTATGAGTGTAAAGTCTGCAAGTGGGTGGAAGCCTGAAAACCTTGGAGGGAGTGTGTGTGTCTTAGTTGTGCTAGAGAGAACTTTTGGGGTCAGAAGGTCCCTGTTGAGCACCAGGAAGCTTCAGCCTTGGTCGGTTCAGTTACTTAGACCAGCCTAAAGCCCAGACCAGTACCTTGAACTTCCCAACTTCGTCAGCTGTTGATACTCCAAGAGGATCAAAGATGGTATTTCACTCAAACTTTCAGAAAACTTAAGTATTATTTATTTAACCTAAATTCCTTTAAAGGAAACTTCTAAAATTCAAAACCTGTTGGTTTTATTTAAACAGAGTTTAGCTGAGAAATTTCTGACTTCAGTCATCTTACGACTATCCGTAAAATATGTGTGAAATGTCTGTAATTTAATCAGTGTGCTGTTATCTTATAAACCTAATGACAACTTGTTTAATGCTAACATTTTTGTTTGCACTGCAGTTCATTTTATTATAATCTTTCAGCAACTTGGACTAAATTCAGAATTCTTGCTTTCGATATCAAGAACGATAAGAAAGGTAAGACAGAATTGACACCTTTTCTCTGTTTTCATAGAGAAACCTTGGTTTCTTACCTCTTTTTAGTAAAAAAGAAAACATTAATTTGCAATAGCACATTTTCAGTGATGTCTGCATGAGATATCCCTCTAATGTGTAATCATCACTTTAAGCAATAACACGGTATCCTCAAGCAATTTACAGTATGTTTGCTTGACTTTTAGTTTGAAACTAAACACTATTGGGACTAGTCTTTTTTCACTCTTCATTATCTAAACCACTTATACCCAAGTACTGATGGCTTTCCTATTTTTGTGTGGGATATGAATATATGACTACATGATATATTGACTTCATATGAATGATAAATGGAGACATTATTTCCCAGCATATAAAAAAATACAAAACTAGCAATTTATTAATGAAAATCAGTAAAACCACACTTCAAAAAGTGGTTTAATGTTTCTTTTATTATGCTTTTCTTTCCTCTTCTCTCCATCCTTATTTGTTCTTGAAAACATCACAAGCATGGTATATGCATACTGTGGAAAGGATAATAGTCTTCAAATAAGCCTTATCCAGCCTTGCTCACAGCACATACAGACAAAGGATACCTTCCTAGCAAAATAAACTGCTTTGCAACCAACCCTTCCAAAAGAGTGTATTTGTGCATTTTAATTACTCAGATTTTTTCCTTACCATTGATTAAGCTGATTAGACAGATAGTGAAATACAGCTAAGAAAAGTATGTATGTACTTAGGTGATACCAGTGCTGTCAAGGCTCACTGTGTCAGATCAGCACCCATCATGTCTGTGAAGCACACCATATAAATGAAATAGTGAGTGGCAGGACTGGCTCAGTGAAGGACAGAAAGTTCATCCTTCTGTGGGTTTTTTTTTTCAGTAGCTGAAGAATATTTGATAAATACCCAATACACAGCTCTCAATGCAACTATTAATAGTAGTAACTGTCCTAATGTACATAATGAGATAATTAGCTGTGGTATGAACATGAAGTACTGCATATAAAGGGCTTTTTAATCCCAGATAACTTCAAGTTTTAATCAACTTGCTCAAAAATAACCAGTTTTTTTTGACTGTGCTGGTTTGATTGTAGTTTTGGAAATACTGTGCTGAAAGTGATTTTCCATAATTTAATCAGGAAATAATTGTATTATCTTAGAAATAAAGGTTGATAAGCCGTCATGTCTTGCAGTATTGGGCCATTCTGCAAAAATAAGCCTTTTCAGTGTAAGGTCAAACTCTGGTAAAACTGATTGCCAGAAAGAGAAAACTCCCTGTTCATTATCTAGATCTCTTCAGTCTACTCAGAGAAGAAATTTTGCATGAGCTTTCAACTGCTAGAACAGAAAATAGATGCACTGAAATGCTATTACATTTACAGAAAGCTCCAAGATAATTTATTTATGAGATGGATTATTGCTTTTGTGTACTCCTTATGTTAATCAGGTTTTTTGGCATTTATTCTATCCAGTTGGGCCAGTGAAAACCACCCAATTAAGGTATTATTCAGGCATACAACTTCCAACCCTATCCAGAAATAAGAAGGCAAATTATGCACAAGTTTGGGGGGTTGGTTTGTTTGTTTTGTTTTTTGTTTTGCTTTGACTTGGTTTTTTTTGTGTTGTGCTTTGTTATTTGTTGGGTGGTTTTTTGGTGGGGGGATTGGTTTTGCTTTTTTTGGGGGGGTGGTTTTGTTTTGTTTCTGTTGGTTTGGGGGTTTTTTGGTTGTTGTTTTTGGTGGGTTTTTTTAGAAGCCTCTAAGAGGTTCAGCTCAAGTAGGTAGAAGGGGGTCCAGGAGAAGCCTCCTTGCATGGCAACTAGAGGTTAGTTGACCATGCCAAGGAGCTAGGTCCTTCCCACGAAGTTCACAATGTCCCTCTGCAGTTGTATCTTTCCCCTTCCTGAAGGGGATCAAGGGCTTTGTTTCACTCTCCTGCAGAGAGCTGGTGGCTGACAAGGGCTTTCATGGCTGATTTCTGATTAACCTGTTCACACGCATATTGGTGCTGCTTTTCAGGTATGAAAACTTGTCTGTCATGCTCCAATAAATGTCAGACTGTCCTTTGACTAGGAGGCAAATCGGTGCACCAAGAAAAAACAAACAAACAAACCCCCTGATTAGAGCTTACCTCCATAGCAGGGATGTTTACCAGTTGAAGACAGTGGGTGCATGAGCAGGGAAAGCAGTGAGTTCATTACTTTGTGAATCTGTAGCTCTTTACTCTTTGAAAAATGAGGATAGCAGAAGCAGAGCCATCAGTTTTTCTGGCTTGTTCCACCATTGCATTTGCACACAGAGATCTGATGATTTAGGCCTTCAATACACAGTTTGAATATTCTCCTACTATGGCTTTGTCCTGCAGATTTGTCCATAAAGAAGCAATTATTCAGCCTTTAACAGCAGTTTTAAAAATTTTTGGTCTAATAACATTTTGTGTGTCCAGCAAAGTTATGATATTTTTATGTTTATGTCAATTAAATTATGTCTGAAGCAGGGTTTAAGTGCTGTGGCATTGCAGTTAAAGATCAAAACTGTGTTTTGCATGCCAATACTGTAAAACAATGCTATTTCTATTTAAAAAATATCTGATTTTTCAATAACAGATTCCATTGTTTATTTGAAATGTGAATTTAAGCAGCTAGTGTTTATAATATGTAAATCATTAATCTTCAGACTTTAATCTCTATGATCCCGTTTAACCCAGTGATGTGTGGATGCCTTATATTTTTTATTGAGATATGAGGTAAAATAGAAATGAAATATCTGGGGAATCAAAATTATGTTCATAACACTTTCTTAATGTGCATAACATACTTAATGCTAGATGTGTTAGAAAGCTACTTGTATATTTCCCTGATGAACAGTAATATGGACATACTGGCAAGGGTAAACATATTAATTAGAGCCTGAACATCTCTCCTTCTTGCTAGTGTAATCATTAAATTGATTTTTCCAGTCTGACATGTAATTGTTCCAGCGATGGAATCCTGCTTTCCACTCTCGTTCTGCTTCATCAATATTTCCTGTAAAACATAAAATGGGTTACATTAATCTAAATTTGAATCTCTTTATATGCTAATTGAAAAATAATTTTGATTATCAATGTCATTTTCTCCAGATACATTATAGGGTGGTCTTTTGTCTCATTTCTTAAACCTGGAATGACTGAAAACTCGGTGATTAACACTTGGTCTTTACATCAGGAATGTTTTTCTGGCTCACCAGAGGATATATAAATACACTTATGTGTAGCCTCATTACTTTTGGATAATACTTCTGTCCATCAAAGTTATAATTTTAAAACCATCTTTTTTTTTTTTTAATCCTCCAAATATTACTTTGATTCAGCAGTCTACAGTGAAACTGGCATATCCTTAAGACTATGTTATGCAACCAGAGGTACATAATTGTAAAGATACAGTGAAATCACAGCTTTGTTCAAGAAAACAACAGTATTGCTGTTAGTTTTAATAGATTTAATCCAATGGATGACCATGATTTCACCCTACTGTGGCATAAATCTGCAAGTTTCAAGAGTAAAGGGGCACAAGTCTGGAGAAGGCTACTCTAAAATGTGAACTATGTCAACATGGAACCATCTTCTCTTTTTCATTCTAGCCTATAAAACGTTTGCCAACTAATCCTGTGTCCCAAGGCAATATTTATTGCCAAATTTGTTATAGGCGTCAGGGCAGAGTGTGAGAATGAGAAGAGTAATAAAACTATATCATTGTACAAGGTATTTTACAGACAGGGTTCACTTCCTCCAGTCCCAAAGATAACGCTAAATGCAGTGACCTTGCAGGAACAACCCATACAACAACTAAATGAAAGATAATGTATGTAGGCTGTATCATGTACTGTGGCTTATTATTTCAGATCAGTTGTAGACTTTAAGGAAATATTTAGAAACCATTTATGATCTGTGAATGCTTTATGCATTCTGGACCTAATTATCTCAGTCTCCCATGTTGACATAGCTCATTTAAAAAAAAAAATTGGTAATTGTGTTCATGAGATAAAAAATCCATAGTTTCTTTATGCTTTTTTGACTTTATGTTCTTCTGCTGCAGTAGAGCAGAGGCCCTTTTCCTCCATAAATACACCCCTTTTCTATGATCTGCCAGCACTGCAAGTTTAACTGGTTACGTGAAAATGAAATATTTTTGTGTTTTGCACATCAGATGTCAAAACATTCTGGAAAGAGAGTTAGCAGATTCAGAGATTAAGTTTGGAGAAGCATCCAGTATTTTGGTTGCTTATTTGCACTTTAGCTCAACATTTGCAAACCTTTTTGGTCTGGAAATCCAGATGGAAATTTAATGAGACTTTGAGATGAGATTTACATTGCTCCTTGGTTTCAGTGAGACGAGAAATAAAACCAAGATAGTTTTTTCTTGCGGAGGTTTAGTGCTGCTCCTTGCAGTTGAAAGGGAAATTGTGAAGAACAAATATAGGAAAAAATATTAAAAAATAAAGCACAGTCCTCTCCCTCAGTTCAAAGGTGTAAATAAGCCTGGTTACATTTGCAATCAAAGAAAAGTTCAGATAATTCTTAATTATAATTGCAGTCTGAAGAAAAAAGATAAAGAGGATTTGTAAATGCTGGTAACAATAAAACCATGTTTTGATCAGTAAACTATGCAGGTATGACTCCCAGCACTATGGGGAGAAGACATGCACAACATACTACTTTCCTGACTCTAAGAACTTGCCTTTGCATGTTTCTAAATTTAAAAATGTAGCCAGGGTCTCTGTAAAGACAGATTTGCCACATATGTCAAACAGATGGGTATTTTAGTGTATAAACCAGTACTAGTGTTACTTGGAGAAAAATGCCTCAGCCGTATTTCTTGTCTTATTCTTGATTATGGGTATGCAGTTTTATTTATCCAGACAATGGCTCTACTTATGAAGCAAAAACCCTTGTTCCTCCTTTAATTTTTCAGGTTTAGATGTGTTTGAACTCTGCCCAAAGACTTTAGAAACTGAAATACTTCTAACATACACACATCTTCTATTAAAAATCAGTGTTCAGCAGTATGAATTACAAGGCATTTTGGTGCCTCTGAAAGATCACGGCGAGGAAGCAAGTTAGCTAGAGAAAGCAGAAAACAAGTAATTTGGATTAGCCACCATTATGAATCTAAAAGACAAAAGGGGAAGTAAAACACTGAAATAAGGACTTGGATTCCCATTTGTTTGCTTTTTTCAGTGATAAGATCCAAATTGAAGTCACAAGTCAATGCATCCCATTATCAGCAATATCATCAATCTCTGAAGCAACCACCCATGACTTGGATGATCTGACAGCTGGAAGGCAAAAAAAAAAAAAAAACCCTAAAAAAACCCCAACCCCCAGGATTAGAGGATTCAACTTGACCAATAATTAAAGTGCTTGGAGCACTGAATTACTACAATGTGCTGCAGCACTATGGAAGTCAGCTAATAATACAGTGAGGTTATTTTGCTATATGCAGTCATTTAGGCAGTCCCGAGCTTTACACTAATACTGATTAGCCTAATGCAAAGTCCAGTGAAGTTTTCAAGAAGAAAATAGGAAATATTTCAGAAGGCAATGATCATACCTCAGTGCTCAGAAAGGACCCAGTTTAACAGACCAAAAAATGAAAGTTTTTTTTTTTTTTTATTCTTTGGCAGTGTCAGTGCAGACAGCTGGCATTTTTTTTAATTCCACATAGGCATATAGCCTTTACTTTAATCGCATTGTAGCAAAGTTAAATTTATCTCCGTACATCATTTGCCAAACTGCTAGATGTGCCAATAATGTGCTAATCTTAGATGTGTTTTTATGTATTAACATTAAGATTGGGACAAAGGCCACTTATATGTTATGATATAGCAAAATTAATAAGGGATGACAAGTTAGAATTAATTTTTATGTCTTCAACAGCCCATAAATGTGGGTATCTGCAAACTTCTTGATTTGTTAGTCTGATTAATGATAGAAGTTTAAGCTGTAGATTCTCATGATGATCGTTTCTACACAAATGTTCAGAAAGAAGAAAACATATAGTATCTATACTTCATTATCTCTACTCAGTGCTCTTTAATAACACACTCAGAATACAAGGCTTTTTTTTTTTTTTTTTAACCACAACATATGTATTTCATATGTATTTTTAAGGACTTAAGGTTTTTAAAGTTCTATTTCTTTTATTCTTCCAAAAATCAATAGAGCCCGCAGGGAGATAAAATGTTGTAAGGACTGTTATCTTTCATATAGACCTCGATAGAAAGTACTGGAGTTAGACAGAAATCAGATTAAGGTACATAGCTTATTGTCCATAGGTGTACTGAGTAAAATCTTTGTCGGTAGGTGTGGTAATATGGGTGAGGTTACTTTTGACTCGTTCACTTCTCTGGATGCACACTGAGTGTAGCATCTAGCTCTGTGGAAGTTGAAAACTAAATCTGATGGTGAATTTTCTAAACAGTCAAATTTATGAAATTCTTACTACCCTCAGTGCTTAGCTCTACAGAATACAGGTACTGTTTGGAGTACTATAGCAAATATACATTTTTGTTATTCACTGGTTGAACTTTTCTCTGCTTCCACATTCAAAAGCTTTTTAGGGCAGTTTGAGCAACCTGCTGTAGTAGTTGTCTCTGCCCATGGCACGGTGGCTGGAACTAGATGATCTTTAAGGTCCCTTCAACTCAAACCATTCTATGATACAGTAGTATCAAATACATATGGTACATATTTTTCTATTTTATTAGGCACACAAAAATAGTAATGGAACAATAAATGGAAAGGTTGGCTGCATGCAGCTTTTTATAATCAAGAGGAAATAGGCATATATAAATAGGGCACTAGGTGCATGAAAATTGTGTTAAGGAGGTAGAATCTAATATAGATGATTTTATAATTAACATATGATTGCTTTAAAAGCTACTTAAGAGTCGCTTACTGTTTACTGTCCCTCTGTGTGTTTCTTTAAGAAGCAGTCATTAGAAAATGTTCTAGTGATTGCCTCAGCACTCATGCCCTCTAATGAAATATTAAATTCTGAATGCTCCTGGCTTGTCTTGTGGTGGATAGGAACCAAGGGTATTCTTGGTGCCTCTGCAATAAGGTTGAAATCTGTATAAAGTTGTGTCCAGTTGGAACTGGGAGCCCACATAAGGCATGTCTAGGTCCAGTTTACCTGTCTAGTGCTTATTATCAAGCTGGACATAAATCCACACATTTTGACTTGTCTTCAGTTATACTTTTATGTATTGAAATTAAAGGAGAAGATATTGAGAAATTTCCTAAATTCACACGAAGTACTCTAGAAATATAAAGGCCAGTTATTTATATAAGGGTTGGTACTATTGCATTAATGTGTAAGGCTCTTTTTTTTTTTTTATTATTAGTTTTCTCAATCCATAACCATGACTTTTTTTTTTAACATATCTGTTTTGATTGCTTAAGGAAAGCGAAAAATATCCAACCATAAAGGTAGCAGGGACTAAATATTTTCTCTCTTTCTTATATTTAAATGCGTCAAAGAACTTGTCTTACTCTGCCTGTCATGGTAACAGGCTTGCTCAGATGCTGAACACATTTGGAGCTGGCCATTACATGCCAGGAAGAGCTCAAGGCTTGTTCTAGGAAAGGATGAGTAGATAAATGTGTGGTCTGCTAGCAAGCACATTCATGCCAAATTCTGACCACCTGGCATGAGAAATTCCCTTGCAATTTCTCCAAAGTAAGTTGGCTTGATTGTCTTCTTCAGGTTCTACCTGATAAAATTCCACTTTGTCTATCTGAACCCTACTTGCAATAATGATAGCACAAGTTTTCCTTACTTCTTGTTCTCTGTCATATCGTATCATGTTAAAGCAACCTTCTTTTTCTAAGAATATTTCAATGTGAGAAGCAACAGAAAAGATAGAACCTCAGAAAACTAGGGAATACATATCGCATGCGCTGTCCTTTGGTCATAAAAGGAGATAGGAAATGCAAAATAATATTTCAGTGAAGAGAATTATTACAATATAAAGTATTATATTGTTATTGTAAGTGGAATCTTAAAGGTTTCTTTGTTAGAATTGGATAAGATTTTATAGGGAATATAAATAGATAGTATTTCTGTTACAATATTTCAAGGACTGACAGATGTAGAAACATGACAAAGCAGCTCTACTTCTGGACAATATTCTTGTCTCACTTTTGTATGTAGGATCCAGGCACAATGATTCTTTCCTGTTGCTAAAAATACACTCAGGAATTTCTTTTAATTAGATTATGTAAATTCATGTGGTAAATTACTGAATCTGGCAAAGTGATGTATTTGTCTCCTGGCAGATCCAGAGTGTTGCTTTGTCATCCTTTGCACCACAGAACCATGTAAAGCAACTCTGCAATCCTGCCAAGATGTGTTCAGCTATGTCTGGTGATGTGCTGTCTGTGTTCCACCACAGAGCATTTGGGTATGCGCAGTCCTTTTGTACAATGCACATTAATCAGTGGGGGTTCATAGACAGGTCAAAGAAATATGTAACATATTCCAGTTCTCCTGGCTCAGCATAAAGGGCTTATCAGAATTTTTGAAATCTCCCTAAAATCCGTCCATAATTTGGTATATTGTGGGTTTAAAATCACTGGGTATGCTTTATAAATTATTTATTTTACCTCCTGATTTTGCTTCTCTTGATTTAATTCAAAAATATTTACTGAGTTGAAAGGTGATAAAGTTGTGCCATAATATAGTTATAGTCTCAAATCAGGAAGGAATAAATTATTTCAGAAGTAATCATCTTTGCAACATGAAAGTTTATACATTTTAAAAATAATACTCAAACTGAATCTTACAGAAAGCTTGTAAATTACTGATTAGCGTTTAAAAAGTGTATCTTATTTTTGAAATGAGATTTTCCTTTCCTACCCCCAAGTCAAACAGTGGAATGCTGTTCCAGAGCTGCCAAATTACTTTATGAAACCAATTCCTTTTGAAGTACAGAAGCACAGAGTCTTGGTCTGTTTGCTGGGCTTTGCAAAAACAGTGGCATCAGGCTCCTAAAGAAAATCTGAGACTTTTGTCTTCAACTGAGCTTAAAGTTTCAAAGAGCAGGTTATATTTTTTTATGTAGTGGAATCTCATAAATGTATTGTATACAAGGTCAGGCATAAATCAGTTCTATTTTGCACAGGCAAATCCTGAAGTCTCTGGATGTCATCAGTGGTTGACACTCTAGAAATAGAACACAATGCGCCCTCACGTGAGGTGTAGAACAGAATTCTCTCTTTACAGCAGCCATGTACTTAATATCAGAATTCTGTGTATCAATTTCATGGTAATATAAGCCCATAAATAATCCCAGTATAGCATGCCACAACCTACCTCAGATACATGAAGTTTACACAGTATCTCAGGAATCGAGACCCACTCAGTGCCCAGACCCTTTCATAGAGTAGAGAACAGATTATCTGCATTACTCTTAATGTCTCCTATTGTGGCTGCATCTGCATTTTGAGACAGAGAAGCTCTATGCTGCTGAAGTCCTGGGGCTTGGCCCCTAATACAGAGCAGGGTGCTACAGGGTAGTGAGCCCCTGGCCTGAAGCATAGGGCACTTTACATGGCACCCCCTTACCACAGCATGGGCAGTTTTGTTCAACGTCTGAACACCTCATGGAAGTTAACTCACAAACAGGACTGTAAAGATTTAAACTCAAGTATCATATTAATATCAAGCAAATAATCCTTGTATGAAACTTATATAAAAGTATTTTTACCTGTCATTTCCAGGACTTTTGGAAAAAAATTATTCCAGAATCGACACTGCTGAGCATGTAATTTTGTCAGTATCTCTGAAGTGTCAGTATTTAATGTCAAATATTTTTGTTCAGTACTAGTGAAGACTGGCCACCTTGTTCCATTTATCAGGGTCCCATTTGGAGTTCTAAATGAGAAAAGAAACATTTCATTTGGAATAAGAAATTACCTCAGCATCAATAAAGCATTATTTGTTGTTTTTTTTTTTTAATCTAACACTTATTTCAGCCCCACTATGTTACTTTAGAATTAATGAAGTATACTTTTGTAAGTAACAGGAAAAAAAGGAAGGTAAATTTGATTTAACTTCATTTGAAAAAAAATTAGATTACCCTTTTGGGCTGTTTTGTTAAGGGGAAAAAGCTAATAAACAACCATATACAAACTACATTTGGCAAATTTGAAGATTCTCACAGAAGCTGTAAATTATTAAAGATAACTTGAAAAAACACCAACCAAGCAGTCTGAGAGGTTGAGTGTTTATGTTTCGTTTCAATGTTACTTATCCTTTCAGAGAGACAGATTGGACTAAACACCTCAGATAAAAATGCAAGTAAAGGTACATATAATGCCTAAACTTTGGATGAGAGCTGTATTGGGAGAGAAAACAATTATTCCTCATTAAGAAGAAGCTTCCTCCTTGAAGTATGTTGAGCCCTGTTAGCCAAGTGCCGAACAAGTACAATTTCAAATCTTTTAGAAAGTGGGAAGAGGTACCGAGTGCTTGGCCCTTTACAGAGCAAGCTCTGCAGTTTAAAGGATCACAGCTGTTAGTTTTTAAATAGTTGTGATAAATATTTGCAACACAACAGAATTTATAAGGCTCTATAGACAGGCATTCAATTTTTCACCACTATAGATGACTATACATAGTATCTATATGACTAGAAAGAAAAAAAAGTGACTGGTTTAAGTATGCAGAACAACAAAATGGGGAGCATAACATCAGGGAATGAATGAGAGAGTATTATTTTCAGGAAAAAAAAAGAGTAGTAGATTTACACTTTAAACAGTCACAAATCACCATTAGCTCAGAAGAGGTTAAGAATACAAATTAAACAACTTATTCCAGTATAATCAGAAGAACTAATTTATTTTTTCCTAGAAGCTGATATCAAGGAATCTGGGATTTAGGGCAGAACAACAGTATTTGATGATTCTTAGTGGGATAAATTAAGAACACTGTTAGCTATGTTAATTTGGTTATCTCTATTCTATTTTTCACGTGCAATCTTCCCAAAGGCAGTGGTCAGATAGGAGTCCAGGGTGTGAGGAGCTCACTTGAGTTCTGCTTGCCAGAAGTGGGAATAAAGTACTGGTTGTAGGTGGAAGCAGATTCAGCTGCTCATGTAATACCTGTATCTCTTAGTTTATTCGGAATGAATCAAGTTTTCAGCCCATGTTTTAGTACTCTGGAGTCTTTGGCAATTGGCTGCTTGCAGAAATGGTATTAGAGTAAGAGATTCAACATGTCATTTCCTGAATTGCTCACTTCTTTACTGATTTTTCTTTACTAATTCAGCTCTGATTAACCTATAGCACCCTTTTTATCTGCACATCTATCTGTGGCTCATGAGAATTATGACTTAAGCAGAGCTGACTTGCACCTCAGTTCAAGATCAGAACACTAATGGTGCTGTCAGTATTCATTTAACAGCTTTTATGCTACGAAATAAATCATGACATTCCACATTATAATTTACAGGTGTGGGGGGATTACACAATGGCTACAGATGTATTTTACTAAAAATGATTGAAAGAACTGTCAGGTGAACACAGCATTTTGAAATACATGGACCTGCTGATTATGATATTCTCGCTGCTTACTGTTCAAAGAAATGTCCAGTAATTTCCTTCTTAGCTCCATTGCTGAAAATTTATTTCCCGAGTTAAAAAGAAGCTCCTATTTACAGCAAAACAGAGATCACAGGCATACAATTTTGAACAGGTAAGAAGTTGTTGCAACTATAACCTTGTTCTGTCACAGTTACTGTTCATTACATTGTACTAATTAGTTCATGATGAGAACTGCAGTAAATTATAAAATTTCCTGTTCTTTACACCAAACTCAAAGCTTAATAATATTCATATGGAAAAATAAAAGAACTGTGATAATATCCTTAATGAAAAGAAAGGAATTCAATACAGTACTCAAACTTGTCTCTGTCCTTCTATGTTTGTAGATAAAGGAACTTGCTTCTACTGAAACAAAGCTCAATTTCTATGGTAGCCTCCATATTGTCATCTTTATCAGTTCCTCAGACCTCTTCTCTTTTATCTTCTGGTGCTACTCACTCATCTCTTCTTCCGTATATTCCAGTTTTGCCCATGCCAGTGCTGTCAATGGTGCCTGAAGGTGCATCCTGAAAGGGTTTGGGACATGAAACTTCATGACGGAACTCTATCATGTGCATCTGCCTTGCCAAACATTAATCACCTTTCTTAGACTTCTGTCCATACCTGTAAACTCTAGTTAGGGAAAACCTTCATTTTGTTTGGAGAAAATGTGAGCTTTTTCACTGAATTTTTAAAAAACAGCTAGCTCTTCTACACGCTTTTTACATTTGCAGGAGTATGTCTTATGGCAATTAAGAAATACAATTATTTGAATTTTTCCCAGAGAAGAAATGTAAGAGAGGGCAAGAAAAAACAAACAAAACCAAACTGTAACAAAAACCCCCACCTGTGTTTAAGTGTTGGTGTAAACAGGATTTGTTTTGTTATTTCAGCTAATTTTTTTTTCTTTGCATATACCCCGAAGGTATAAGCTGAACTCTCTCTACTCTGTGATAATGGTACAGCAGGTCCTTTATAGTTAATTATTTCATTAAGATATGTCTTTAAGGCTGCCAAACTTATTTTCTCATTAATTTGAAAACCAGATTATCTTTGTGGGTTAAGTCTCCAGTAAAGCTGCTCTCATGTTTGACCTTTATACATATACATGCTCTCACTGAAGTTCACGAGCCTTAGTTAATCTTGTGCTCAGTGGAAATTGCTTAGTATTCCCACTAAGATCAGGTTCTTCCCTCTTTGGGTACTGTATGCCAATAACTGTGAATAATTATAATAATAAATAATAAATTAACAACTGTATTCTCAAGACTCATAGTACATGTACTAGATTTGACATAGGAGTGAAGAGGGTTTTAGAGGAACTTATTCACTGATCATTTAGATATATTTAATGCTAATCTTCAACAGCTTTAGAAAGAGAAAGTTAATTTGGTTCAGATGGAAAATGCAATAACCTGAACACAGTGCTGTTAATTGTAGTAAGCATACCTACATTACCATTCTCATTAATATAATCAATATAACCTCAAATAACAATATTATCTCCCTGCACATTTATCAATATTCACGTAGCATTATTTTTACAGATGGTTGTTCATACATATAAAATGTAATTAATCTAACATTTTATGGTAAGTATTCATGATATAAAGTACCTGTAACCTATTCACATTATATTTGTGAGTGAGCTCTGAATAGTTTTCACTCTTCTGTTGTATCACCACTTAACAGAGAGGTTCTTTTTCTAAGTCTCCTGAAAAATGGTTTTAGGCTGTTTTAGGATTTACCTTCCTAATGAGTGTTGTAATGCTAATTGTACCCCACACCGGTTCAGACTGTCCTAAGCTTTCACTTTGCTCCTATTTAGCTGCTCTACTTGTAAATGGATGATGTTAACATGCTGTGTGTTTTTCTAGAGGAAAAGAAAAACAAAACCCGCATCATTTTAGCTGTCTAACACAGATGAATTATACCAACCCAAACTCACTAAGAGATTCAGAGGCTGAAACACAATTTTAGCTTCAGTCCCTGGTAGCCCCTTCCACCAGACAGACAAATATTTGTTCTGCCTGGTTGAAGCTGTTCATAGAGATATTGCTCCCTGAGAGGAAGCATGCACTAATATCACCTGAGCGGTGTGTTATTGCTCTTAATTGTCTCTTCAGTTGCAGCTGGCTTCCTTCTGACTTGCTCTGAGAAAAGATCAGCAAACATGTTTGCCTATGGTTCACTCAGTAGAGGATTTCCTATCCTGCCCATTGTGCACAGCAGCAGGAAGGTGGCCTCTCTATGCACAGCCTGCCTCCCTTCTTCTCTCAGCAGGATAGCAGCAACCCTGCTAGCCCCAGACACCAAGTACGCTGTAAGGCAATTTCTTCCTCAGTGCCTCCTGTGGGTTATCACCAGACTGGCATTCTGCTCGCGTGTGTTCCATTAGCTGAACAGGTTGCCCATTGAGATTAATGAAAAGGTATGGTAATGCCACTGCACCCTCTGTTTCCCCCATGCAGTAAGAATTAAAATCAAATGGAGACCTGCTTCTCCCAGATGTGAGTTTACTGACTTCACACAGGAAGTAAACAGTGATGCTTGTTTCCAGTTTGCCCCCTTTTTCTTTTAACAGTTGGTTTAAAGGGAGGAGAGAGTGAATGTGAATAATTTTTATTGTCTTTCATGATTCCTTGCAGCTTACAGGCAGTACTGGCAATCAGCTACTTTTCATAGGATGGTGTTTTGCAGTGTGTTAGTTACCATGGGCACAACATAGCAGGGAGGAGGAATGGCCTTAGAACACATGCAACAGCAGCAGTAATCCCGTCTCTCGCTTGCTTTCTACAGCTGCATTACAAAACCTTTAAGAATTACAGAAACAGATCAGCATCAAATAAGAAGCATGCAGTAAATGTTACCCCAGGGGTAGCTCTGTGAGGGATGGTTCTACTTGTGTCTACAATGCAAACAAAGGGAGCTGCTGAAGCTCATGCAGTTGTACCCCAGGTCACTTCAGAGCAGCAATGCAAAGGCTGCCAGCAGCACAGTGTGGTGTCCAGCTTTGCAAACACCCATGCAGCAGGCCAGCACAGGTATAAAATCTGATAAGAGTGAATATAATTAAGATGCTTTGAGTTTGCACTTGTTGAAGTATGCAATTAACTGCTTTTTCAGTGGTATTGTAAATTTTGGTTGTGTTGTCTCCTATATACATTTTCTGCCAGGTGAAAGGGAGTAAGATAGCACAGGGCAGAGAAATCCAAGGTTTGGGAAAAATGAACAAGCGAATGAGAAGGCGTCAACTCGGCTATAGTATCAACAGTTGATCTTGATGAGTAA